GTGAATTTAATAAAGAGGGGAATGTGTAATGACTCTATCTTTTTGAATGATGTCTTCAACATTTGAAAAGCTTGAAAATAATTTTTTTACCAATTTCTTCATCCTAATTCAAAATTTACTCTAAATCATACTCGTTTTAATTATTTTTGTTTTGTTTTTCAGAAGAATAAGAATTTAAAATAGTGGATGAACACGAGCTACATAAAATATAACACATGAAAATAAATTCATTTAGTAAATTAAGAGGTAGAAGATGAAGATCAAAGGGAACTACAATTTTAATCGAACACCATTGGTAATGTTTAACCATGAAATGAAGTTTTTCTAATTAGTTTAATAGTTAAAATATTAAAAAATATTTCATCCGCATGTTACACGGGGAATCACCTAATTTTACTGTTAATCACCAATCTTTCATCTTGCAAGTTGCAACATTCGTCAAGCTATAGATTTGTTTGACAAAATCATTTAACTCCCTTTTCGGTTGATTCTTTCTATGTATACTCCTTTATTCAAACTTAACCGAGAGAAAGAAGAAGACGATGAGGTGCTTTTTCTTTAAACGTTTTATAGACACTACAAAAAAAAAAAATAGATTGTATTATTTATTTTATTTTTGTTATTGACACAAATGAAATTACATACACAAATGAAATTATATTATTTCTGTGAGTAACTTTGAAAATGATGACTCTAATATACACCGAAACGATGGAGATTTGGTATTCCATGTGATAAGAACTTTTTATTATAATCTATTTCTAAAATAGCTCGGTTTTACTTTCTTTAGAAGTTCAAACAAAAGTTGCATTCAATGTAAAAAAGATCGATTTGAATATAATTTTACATTCAATTAAAAAAAAAATATTTTGTAACAAAAAAAGACTGACGTAAATATTTTCATCATTTATTATAACTGATATTAATATATATCGCCTATAAAAAATGAAACTAAATTTACATCAGTTTTATTAAATATTGTTATATATTTGTTTCGGTTCTAACAATTGATATTGAATATTCATATCATTTGTTTAACTAATTTTATAATTATATCACTTTTTTATCCAAAATAAAATAAAATAAAATTATATTACGTTCATTTGTTAAACTTGAACTATAAATTCTTAAAAAAGTTTAAAAGAAAATTTCTAATTCTAAATCAATTAATATTATTTGCTATCTTACCATTTGGCACTCTGCCATATTTATAAGAAAAGATGGTCTTGAACTTTTTATCAATTGTCGATGTGGGATAAAACAAACAAACATGATTGTAGAGTATTTCGTTTGTTACAACTTGATTTACTTTAAATACAAATTTGATTAGTATCAGTTTTTATTGATGTAAATCTTGTATTAATTTTTCAAGTGATGTTAACAAAGAATTAGCAAATATATCGATTATATATCTAACTGATATAAATTGATATTTTTGTATCACTATTACTAAAATGATGTAAACTAATAAATTTTTTTTTATCAATTCTATTAAACTGATGTTAAAATAGTCACTAACAACATCATTGATCATAAGTGATGTTAATTTATATATTTTAAATCATTTATTAATAAATAATTCAAAATAATGTTATTTAAATGATACTATTTAAGTAACAATATAGACTGTAAAAAAATTATATAGACATTTTTTTGTAATGCAACAATATAGACTGTCACGTGTCTTCTCCTGGAGAGTGCTAGCCATTGATATTTTTTCCTTTTCACCTTGAATTTTGATTGTTAGAGTTTTTTTACTACTTAAGGAGACGTGTTCTTATATCTTGTTTTTTAAGGAAAATTTGGTTGTATAACACAAATAAAAATTATATCTAAAAATCTAGCCAAAACCCTTATATGTGGCTAACTCTCACCCATTAGATCTAGATTTTTGGTTAAGTTTTTAATTGTAATTTTTTTTTTGGTTATACTACAAATTGACCTTTTCTTAAATATTGAAAATCCACGTCAAAATAATAAATGAGTTATGCCAAAAATAAATAATAGTAATAAATGAGTTTTTTCCTCTTATAAACAGAAAAAAAATATGAGAGGATTGTGCGAATATAAAAACAAATCTGAACTCTTTTTGTTTGCTCCGGGAGAGAAGATAACTGGCAGTTTTACAAGTAAGTTCACCATTTCATACATTTAGTAAAAAACAATTCTATATTTTAATTTTATGATTCCTGACCTTTAATACTTTAATAAACTAAGAAATATAATCCATCTTGTCTCACCGTTATCAAATTTATCCTATAGTTATATGGTTTTCGCGTGTTTTTTATATAACTTACTTGTAAATTTACATAATTATTTCAAGCAATTAGCTTGTATTGTTTCTTAAGAATGATTCTTGTAAATTTACATATTATTTCAAGCAATTAGCTTGTGTTTTTTTCTTGAGAATATTGAATCAGTGAATCCAGATTTCGAAAGCATGTTATATATTTTCATTATTTGTATAAAAATATTTATGGTTTTTCTCAGGTTTCTACATGTACTATACCTTCTCCAAGAATACGCCGTTAACTGCCGTCAAAGTAAAAGACTACGCCGTTAATTTCGCCGTGTAACTAATTTATCTCAAAAGATGCCACGTGTTTCCACGGAATCCCAACAAATCTCTCTCGACGCCGGCAACGAGTCACCGACCCTCGGCGAATTGCTGAAACATTTCGAAGACAGTGACCGGGAAAAATATTCCGGCGAAGATGCTCCGATTCATCACACATTGGATCTCACTTCCCCTGAAGTACAACATGTACCGTTTGTCTTAGCCTTCAACAATCTCAAATACAGTGTCACACTTCGCCGGCGATTTGATTTCTCTCGAGTAAAACCCGATTCGGTGAAGATTTTACTCGATGATGTCTCCGGCGAAGTTTGTCACGGAGATATCCTCGCCGTTCTCGGTGCAAGCGGAGCAGGTAAATCGACGTTAATCGATGCATTAGCTGGGAGGGTTGCAGAGAAAAGCCTGAGAGGCTCTGTAACTCTAAACGGAGAAAAGGTTTTCCGATCTCGATTGCTGAAAGTAATATCGGCATATGTGATGCAAAACGATCTACTATTTCCGATGCTCACCGTCAAAGAAACCTTAATCTTCGCTTCTGAGTTTCGTCTCCCGAGAAATTTCCCCAAATCGAAGAAGATGGAGCGTGTTGAAACCCTAATCGACCAATTGGGGCTCAGAAACGCGGCGGATACTGTAATCGGAGACGAAGGACACCGTGGAGTCTCCGGCGGAGAGAAACGGCGAGTTTCAATCGGAATCGATATTATCCACGATCCGATCGTCTTGTTCCTCGATGAACCAACATCCGGATTGGATTCCACGAATGCGTTTATGGTGGTGCAGGTTCTGAAACGTATCGCTCAGAGTGGCAGCATCGTAATTATGTCGATTCATCAACCTAGTGCTCGGATCCTTGACTTGCTTGATCGGCTTATCATCTTATCTCGAGGCAAGAGTGTATTCAATGGCTCTCCGGCTAGTCTTCCTCGATTCTTATCCGATTTCGGTCGTCGAATCCCGGAGAAGGAGAATATAACAGAGTTCGCACTTGATCTAATTCGACAACTCGAAGAATCCCCCGAAGGAGCTCGAGAGTTAGTAGAGTTCAACGAAAGGTGGCAACAGAACCAACCTGCTCGAGCCACACATGACCAAGCCTTACCTCTAAAAGAAGCCATCAATGCAAGTGTTTCTAGAGGCAAACTAGTCTCTGGCTCATCTGGAGCCTCCGTGGAAACGGTATCTTCATACGCAAACTTGCCATTGATGGAGACATTTATCTTAGCTAAACGGTACATGAAAAACTGGATCCGTACGCCCGAGCTTATAGGAACGCGGATCGCAACTGTCATGGTGACTGGTCTTCTCTTAGCTACTATATATTGGAGGCTTGACAACACTCCAAGAGGTGCACAAGAGAGAATGGCTTTCTTTGCATTTGGCATATCTACGATGTTCTTCGTTTGTGCAGACAACATTCCTGTTTTTATCCAAGAACGATACATTTTCTTGAGAGAGACAACGCACAACGCGTACAGAACATCTTCGTATGTCATATCTCACTCTCTCGTGGCTCTGCCTCAGCTACTCGCTCTCTCTGTTGCATTTTCTGCAACCACATTTTGGACAGTTGGTTTGAACGGCGGGTTAGAGAGTTTCTTCTACTACTGTCTCATAATCTATGCCTCCATTTGGTCTGGATCCTCTGTTGTTACTTTCATATCCGGTTTTATCCCCAACGTCATGATAAGTTATATTGTCACCATTGCCTATCTTTCATACTGTCTACTGTTGGCTGGATTCTACATCAACCGAGATCGGATACCGTTCTACTGGATATGGTTCCACTACATTTCACTGATCAAGTATCCCTACGAGGCTGTCTTAATCAACGAGTTTGATGACCCGTCTCGATGTTATGTTAAGGGAGTCCAAGTATTCGATGGTACGCTTTTAGCAGGAGTGCCCGATGCGATGAAGCTTAAGCTCCTCGATACACTGAGTAACTCTTTAGGAACGAAGATAACGGTGTCCACATGCTTGAGAACAGGGCCTGACTTGCTTATGCAGCAAGGTATAACTCAATTGAGCAAGTGGGATTGCTTGTGGATTACGTTAGCTTGGGGTCTCTTCTTTAGGATATTGTTTTACTTCTCATTGCTTTTTGGGAGCAAGAATAAGAGGACGTGAAGGTAAATCCCCACATAGACAAACCATACTTCTATTGGACTCATTAGCTACCTACAAGGCTACAACGAATGCATTATACCCTTTGAAGTATAATTTTTTTAGTGAAGCTTGAAACTTATAATCAAGTTGTAGTAACTTTGTGAGTGTTTTATGGCTTATAAATTCTTATAACTCGACTTTATCAAGTCTACGACGTATTTAATTGTTTTGTTATCGACGATAATCCTAGTCAATAGCTTTTGTGTTAGTGGAGGAGATATCCGTATTATTGTGTTAGTGGAGGAGATGCGTATTTAGCTTCTTCATCGTCGGAATTTTATATTCACAAGTCAGATACATAACTATCGAATCTTTGAGAAATTTCAAAAAATTGTCATATTTTTACGATCTTTGCAAAAATGCTATTTTTTAAAAATTATTTATTCATTATATCATTTATGTTTGGGTTAACTAGTTGTATTAGGATTTAGTTTTGAGGGTTTTAGAGGTTTTAAAGGTCAAAAAAAGTTTTAGGGTTTATAATTTTAAGATTTAAGCTCTAAAAAGTTATAATTAGTGGCATTTTTGCAAATTGACATAAAAAATGGCATTTTTATAAATATGGACACAAAAAATGGCATTTTCGTAAATATCCCTTGAATCTTACCTTCGTGGTCAAGAAAATCTTTACCTTTTTAAAAGTTACATTTTCCCAAAATTTTTCTTATCTATTTCTAAAAAAAAATTTCTTATCTATTTCTAACAAACACAAACTATGTAAATTGAAAATCAATTATTATTTTATGTAAACTATGGAATATATGGCTGTATAATAGCAGCTTTTACGGTGCCCACTAGACCATATGAGTCACATTTAGTTGTTAGTGTTTCTATTATGGATCGTAAATATTTTGAACACTGAGATTAAAGTAGGTGGTTTGGATGTGGCTTACAATATGCCTTGTGTGGTTCTATTTAATTTGTATGTAAATAAAGTTATAATCCCAAACGTGTTGTTTATGAAAGTGTATTCGAATAATAATCCCAAACGTGTTATTTGTATGTAACTATTTTTCTTTTTAATAGTTAAAAATCGAGTAATTTGTTTTTTTTAGTAATTGTTTGGTCTCTTTTAAGGTTAAAATGAATCATTTATCATCAATACACTTTCTATCTTATAGGATTTTAAGCAGAAATCTTTGTGACTAAAGACAAAACATCCCTTATATATTAATTGGAGAGTGATTTTTCAAAAAAAAACTTAGGTGTCTTCACCAAAATTACTCTCCCAATTTTAATGTGACATGACATCCCTTAAATTAGACATGATATTCTCTCTAATTTAGTTCATTAATCCTTAATTAAAATTAGCTCAAATTCAATAATTAAAATTAGTCCAAATTCAAAAAAGATTCCTTATATATTAATTGGAGAGTGATTTTTCAAAAAAAACTTAGGTGTTTTCACCAAAATCACTCTCTCAATTTTAATGTGACATGTCATCACTTAAATTATGACATGACATTCTCTCTAATTTAGCCCATTAATCCTT